CTCCAATTCCGCCACTTTTGTCTCTAACAACAACAGACGCTTGTCTTTTTCAGCATTCTGCAGTCGGAGAGTCTTTACTTCCTCCACTAAGTTCAAAATGGTAATCTGCTGCTTTCTGATAGTAGAAATTTCCTCTGTCATAAATTCCAGGGATTTTTTAATGTCATCTCCTTCTTCAGCTGTGATTCCTTTCTTTGGCCCCATGTTGGATCAAGCTGGCACCTGGTATAGCCCAAAAAACCTCTTGCCCACACAGTGGCTGGTAGGTGGATTGTGGCCTGGAGCTTCTGGCTCACCCAGTGGCTGGTAGATGGATTGTGGAAAGGAGCTTCTGGCTCACCCAGTGGCTGGTAGGTGGATTGTGGCCTGGAGCTTCTGGCTCACCCAGTGGCTGGTAGGTGGATTGTGGCCTGGAGCTTCTGGCTCACCCAGTGGCTGGTAGGTGCATTGTGGCCTGGAGCTTCTGGCTCACCAAGTGGCTGGTAGGTGGATTGTGGCCTGGAGCTTCTGGCTCACCCAGTGGCTGGTAGATGGATTGTGGAAAGGAGCTTCTGGCTCACCCAGTGGCTGGTAGCTGGACTGTGGCCTGGAGCTTCTGGCTCACCAAGTGGCTGGTAGGTGGATTGTGGCCTGGAGCTTCTGGCTCACCAAGTGGCTGGTAGGTGGATTGTGGCCTGGAGCTTCTGGCTCACCCAGTGGCTGGTAGGTGGATTGTGGCCTGGAGCTTCTGGCTCACCCAGTGGCTGGTAGGTGGATTGTGGCCTGGAGCTTCTGGCTCACCCAATGGACGGAACTTCATCAATTCTACTGATATTGAGCTTAAATTTGTACAGTATTAGATGAGTCACCACCACAGATGCTAAAATGTCATCAGGTCTTCATTTAAAACTTAGATTTTAAATATGTTCTTTCATGCTGTTGGTCCGTTAGCTAAAGCAGCTGCTTTTTGACTTTGACAAACATAAAATTGGAAGACTGTTCAACAGATAAGGCGCTACAGTTTGGTGTGTTGGTAACAGAACTAAACATCACATCAGATAGTTTTCGTTTAAATCTCTGTGATCATTCCTTCATGGAGTGATGCAGCTATAGTTTTAACATGGTTTTATGGGTTAAATGATCTCCACCTAAACATTAACTAGGCTTTGTAAACAACTTTCTCTTTGCTGTGTAAAATCTTATAGGCTACTGCAGAAGTTCGACTTCCCCGCCATGCGGTTTTCTCTCTTCTTCTTGGGCTACGAGGACAAGAAGGAGATCCCTGCAGATGTGAAGGAGAAGACAGCCTCTTCGGGTCAATACGGTAATTTATATGTAGTGCAAAAATTAATTGTTTTTAAAGCCTTCTTGTTAAAAGATCTGTTATGTAAGGTTTGAGTGGGAGCTTACTGAGAAACCCTGACTTCAGTTTAGTTTCCGCTTTCATTTATCTCTCTTCAAATTCCCCAACACACTCACTCACTCGCATGCGCGCACTCGCACACACACACACACACACACTCACTGGTGAAGTCTGAGGGGAGAACAGGACTTATGTGTGTTTTAGTCGGGGCTCGTGGGAGATTTTAAGCTCCAACAAAATTCATAGAGGCTCAGAGATCAGTTTTAGATTGCTGATTAACTGCATTCTAGGTCCCCTTTGAAGGTCTTTGATCTAATGCAGCGCTGCTGATGGAGACTATTCTAAAATTTTAACTAATGAAATAATTTACTTTTTAAAAAAACTAAACGTTTGCTGTGTTCTCTGTAAACAATATGGAAGTATTTCCTCTGGAGAGCAACTTAATAAAATATCATACACATCCAGGCAGAGATGGGCCAGATCACATTACTGTGATTCATCCAAGAGGAAAACATCATGAAATGTTAATTTGCACCGAGGCGTAGAAGAGACTAGCCCTTTCCGACCCGATCATTTACCACGTCTTTCCTTTCTGCAGCAAATGCAGGCAAAGATACTTAAAACGTTCACGTTGAGCTTGTGGAACTTGAGTTTATAAAACAAAAACACGTGTTACGTGGTTTCCTCTTAATGAAACCTTTTAAAATAGTCTAAAGCGACCTGCCCTCAACCTAATGCATTGATCTGTCCCCCGTGGAACAATTCTAACATTAGAAAGCTAATCTGACCCTGGTTATATCAGTTAACTGGTTTCTAACTTTCTTAGTTTATGACCAGCAGTCTCAACCTGGAAAGGTACTGGTGTCCCCTCATAAGGCTGAAGGCCAGAGTATTACTGATACTCATGTATGTAGGAGAACAACTTTGTATGGCTGTTGTTGTCCTGGGAGCATCGCCGGGTTGTGTGAAAAATATCTTTTAGTATGTAATAAATGTATTAATACTCACGTTAAATTGTATGGGTTTTTTTATTTTAGAGACTCAGCAATCATAAAGTCAACATTTTCTGTCTTTATTTCTTTTTCATCATCAGTAGACTTATTCCAGACTTGACAGGTTCGTCTGAATTCAGCCACATTGGAGGTTTTCAGCAGGAAAATCCTGTTAAAAGTCAAAGGTCAGGCATTCTCCTTCAAGACATTCTGCTAGAAAGCAGAATTCATGGTTCCATCCTTTACATCAGGTGGTCCAGGTCCTGAAGCAGCATGGCAGCCCCAGACCACCACACTACCACCACCGTGTCTGGCTTGTGTTTGTGCATTTTACGCTTTTATGCAAATTCAAACATGCTCCTGCTCTGGGATTAGAGCACTGGGAGAAAACCCACATGTTTGGGCCGAACATGCCAACTCTGCACAGAAAGACTGCAGCCGGGATTCAAACCAGCAACCTTTTAGTTGCAAGGCAACAGTGCCACTACCTGCTCCACTATGTAGCCCGTAGGTCTGATCTTTTTGTGTTGGTTTGAATCCAGACCAAGATGTCTCCCTTTTTTGTCTGTCAGTTCATAGAATGTTTTCCCAGAATTCCCCGGGATCGTCGTGATGGTTATCCTCACTGACACGTGTGGGTCGATGAGACACTCTGCGGGTGTGTGTTTTTGAGTTGGCCACTAGAGGGCGCATCTAACCTAGAGGAAGAGTGACTGGAGGGTGGAGGACAATGAAGTCACAAGTTGAACGTCTCACACTACACCTTCAATTCAAAATCCTCTCCATTTGAAACTCTTCCTCAGCTGTAATCAACGTACATCTCCATCTCTTTGCAAGTCATAGACATTTTAAGTTTGACTGGATACAGAAATGTTGTGATGCTAATTTATTCATGGGGAAACATGCTGACCACTTTCTAACTGAACCTTAAAGTCAGTTTCTGTGGAGCTGTTTGTGTAGATTGCTCCGTAAACAACATTGGTTTGAAGAAATAGAGTAATTGTAACTGGCTTGAAATCGGTGAGTATCAACACATTCATCTTCACACTGAGGATTCCAGTTAGGTGGTCCAGGAACTTGTCTAAGATGCCTCCTGGCTACCTCCCCCTGGAGTGGAAGACCCATGCATCACCCAGAGGTTTATAAATCTTCTCTGACCTGTTAACACCTTGGGATCCTCATGGAGGAGCTGGAGAGTCACTGGGAAGGAGGTAGGTCTGGGTTACCCTCATGAATACTTTGCCTCCATGACTTGACACTGGATTAGTGGATCTGTTGTCTGGATGTAACATCTTGGATCTTTTATCAGCAAACCTTAGACATTTTATGAAAGGTGAATTTAGTTTGACCAGCAGAGGTAAAACTAGGTGCTGACTGAGGATCAATTAGTAAAAAGGTTCCTATATAAGAAACCCAGCATAGAGGTTGCATAAAGTCACTGACTAGTGTCAGATTCTTTACAGCAATTCCTCATACTAAGCAAGCATTTAGCGACAGTGGAGAGGAAAACTCCCTTTTAACAGGAATAAACCTCCAGAGGATCCTGGCTCAGTATAAGCAGCCATCCACCATGAAGGTGAAGAAAGCAATGAAATGCAAAGGTTAAAACACTGTCCACTTCATCAGTGTGCCACAGGTTACTCTCTGGTCTCCAAACCAGATAACACATTGCTCGTGACCTCGCAACCGGGAGGTACAGTCATAACAGAATCTGTGCTTCGTCAGAAGACTCCAGACAAAGGACAGAAACCTTAACCCTTAATAAAAGAATGTTATTCTTTCTCATACAATCAAGTATTCACTTTAAAGATTAATTAGAATTACATTATGTAATTAATCTTTTAACTAAAGCGATTTAATATAATAAAATAATGTCCTGACTGCTTTACAGTAATGAATGAATCAACATAATAGATGTCACGGCCTTTATACTTCCAAAAAAAATTTGATTTCCAACTAAAGGCCGTTGGTGAAAACAGATGATTTCCTCTAAGCACGCACTTTAGACTTGATTTCTTACAAATTTTATAAATGGTTTATTCTTCCAAAAAATTGTTCAGAATTCATTCAAAATGTTCTACTTTTGATCAAATGAAAATTAACCTTAAATAAAATTATCAGGTATAAAAATGGTAAAAAAAAATCATTTAACCAAATCCTCCCATTTTCCCTGACACTTGGCCAACAAGCATTCTTTCACACACCTCCCCATGTGCTACTAATAAGCTTAATGACTAAGGCGTGTCCAAAAAATTCAACTACATCAATTTGCCAAAAAACAAAAAATTAACAAATTTTAATTGCAAACTTAACTTATTATAAAGGGAATGATAAAAGAAGGAATTCTAAAAGAAATTTATAACTAACAGATTTATGTTACTTTACTGAAAGGGCCACCACATTCTGGCCCCTAATTCATGTTTAACACGAATTACATTTATACCTCTAGTGGCCGTTACAAAATGGATCATTAACATTAACAAACTTACATTAAACATGAGCTTTCCTTTTCTCAAAGAATTCATTCAAATTTTGACATACAACATTTCATAAAACGAATAACCCCCCCCCCCCCCTTTTTTTAAGGCGTCCATTCATGTCTTCTGAGAACAAAAACAGAGATCAATGTCCTCTTTTAAGTTCTTTTCATCTTTCTTCATTATGTGTATGTTATATAATGAGATTGTCATGGTATGCGTCTGCCCCCTCCTTCATGTGCCTCCTGGTGTCCTCCATCCCTCTCTAGATTCCCTTTTGTGTCTCACAGCGCCCTCATGTGTCCTTTGTCTGCGTCTCATTTATGTGTTTGTAGGCATTCGATCATGGTAAATGGTAAAATGGTAAATGGCCTGTATTTGATATAGCGCCTTCTAGAGTTCTTGAAACCCCCCAAGGCGCTTTACAACACAATCAGTCATTCACCCATTCACACACACACATTCACACACTGGTGGGGATGAGCTACGATGTAGCCACAGCTGCCCTGGGGCGCGCTGACAGAGGCGAGGCTGCCGAGCACTGGCGCCACCGGTCCCTCCGACCACCACCAGCAGGCAACGTGGGTTAAGTGTCTTGCCCAAGGACACAACGACAGTGACAGACTGAGCGGGGCTCGAACCTGCAACCTTCCGATTACGGGGCGAGCACTTAACTCCTGTGCCACTGTCCCCATCCCTTCCAGTTGTAGCTCCAGCCTCTTTGTCCCCGGCTCTGTGTCTGTTTGGGTGTGTACGTGCCCATTCCCCAATAGCTGGGTTTCATGTGACGTCATCACCAGCGTGCGCAAATTCGTTGGAGGGCAGGAAGTGAAGTGGAATACAGCAATTTAGCAATCGCAACGGTAAAAATGCCTATGTTTTGTGTTGTTTATGGTTGCTCCAATCGCTCTAACCGAGAAAAAAATAAAAGATTTTTTAGAGTACCGAAGGTTGTCGTTCACAGAGGCGACAAGTATAAAAAGCTTACAGAACAACGTCGGAAAAAATGGATTTTAAACCTACGCCTGCGGTCAGGAGGAGCAGAGTCTGACAATGCCCGCGTCTGCGGTGACCACTTCCTCCAAGGTATATTAACAGCTAACGTTGTTTTATGGCGGTGTTTAAATACCGCAATGTTAGTTCTATTGTAGTGATTACTTGTAGTCTTAATATGAACATTATTCGACTTTTTAGGCCGCCCTAGCTCCTTAGATGAGGTTGAGTCGGAAGACTGGGCTCCAACGGTCAACCTCTGTTACCAGAAGTCTAAGCCCAAGTCAGAAGCCTCTCTTCAACGGGATCAGAGGATGAAGCTAAAGGAAGACAAACAAAAACGGTATGATTGTGCAGAAACTCTGTTGGATCTTCAGATACCAGACAAGCAGAGAGTTGAGAGCTCTGAACCAACGCTGACACCTGACCACCCACAGTCCGAGCGCATCGGTGTGATTGAGACGTTTAATGATGGAGGTACGTTTTTTTTTTATGTTTATACTGCAGATGTGGTTAAGAATCTAAAACAGCATGCAACATATAATGTAAACATATAAATGACCTGAACTTGTGTTGCGCCCAGTAGCGGTTTTAGGCACGGGCAGACAGGGCAGTTGCCCGGGGCGGCATTTTTTCATGACACAAAAGGGGCGCACAAGCGCGGAGTAAAAAAAAAAAGGAAATCTGCGCTGCACCGAGGTTTTCTATTATCTGTCATATGACAGTGTCTGGATTGGAAACAGTAAGTTGGCGCCCCCTGCAGTTGCAGGCGCTCCTGCTGACTGAGAACGTTCACGTGCTCCGTGTGTCTAAAGAACAGGAAGGGGAGGGGTGCGGCGGGGGAATTCACCTCTGCGTCTTTCCCAAATGAATGAGCGTGCAGGGGCTGAATCAACTGTATTAACATGGCTAAAGTCAATCACATCTTAACGTTCTTCCATTTTTCATTCATAATATCATAAACACAGGCCTATAATTCTTTCAGGTTTCTCTGAATTGTGTGAAATGGCCGAATAAAAAAAGGAAAAACAAAACGATTTTGTGGTCACCCCCCCATCAAGGTCAAATTGTTTAGTCCTGACTAAAGGAAACTTACTGAGTCAGGAGACAAACAGAAGAGATGAACATAAAAAGGCTAAAACCACCAGGTGCCCGATTCAGGGGAAAAAAAGAAAAAAGAGCAGAAAGATAAAGGTATGTAGCTCTCATGATGCATGTTTTCAATTTTTTGAACCAGTTAACTGGGATTTTAACGGTTAAATGCGGTCAACTAATTGCTAACAGAGCTAATAGGGCTGAAATATTTAAACGAATATTCAAATGGTTTGAAAAAAGTCCTCGAATCGTTTTTTACTGATTCAAACTAGGATTTGTTAAATGCTCACTGCAGCCTGTGGCCTGCCTGAAAAACAACAAACACATGTTGATCATGTTCACATAATAATAAATAAAACAACTCTACAAGCAGAAGAAAACTTCCCAGTCACCACTAACTATCCTGTTTATTTATTGCAGATGGCTGCACTGATTATTTTTTACATGATTTGTTCTGTAAAAGTAGGTATTTTTGGTAGTCTACAGTTTTTTATGTCAGTTTAAATTACAATTTCAGAGGCAATTCTAAAATATTATGGATCATGATAAAGATCTATTGGAGATCTACCCAACTTTTGGACTGCTCTGTCAGTCACTGTGGCTCAAGCTGAGAGGAGCTTTTCAAAACTTGATCAAGTCATACCTGAGGTCACCTATGTTTCAGGGGCGGCTCACTAACCTGGCTCTGATTAGTATCAATCACTCAGTAGGGGAGCAGATTTCATGTGATGACATTATTGATGACTTTGCATCAAGGTTAGGTTTTAATTTTAGTTTGTGTTTTCTATTCTAAGTGCAATGCTGTAGTGATTATCTTTAGTTTGTTACGTGTGAAATATTTTTGCTATTTAGAATATTTATTATCTATTATGTTCATATATTCTTAATATTTAGTTATTGTTTGTTTTTGTATATTTGATTCTATATAATTTGATACAGTATATAATGTATAGTGCTTTACATTCTGACAACTTCATAGTAATTAATGTAAATATGTGCAACTTAGAAAAATGAATGTTCAATAGTCGTTCTAATAAAACATGCCTGTTTGTAGAAAACATGCGTGTGTTCATGCAGGTGGGGTGGTGTGGTGGTGGTGGTGGTGGTGGTGGTGGGGGGGGGGTTGGGGGGGGGGGGGCGCTCAAAGGGGGCCTCGCCCGGGGAGTAATTCGATGTAGAACCGCCACTGGTTGCGCCTTTCAGAGTCAGAGGACTCCAAAGAGCTTTACATCATTCACCCATTCACACACTGATAGTGATGACCTGCAATGCAGTCACAGCTGCCCTGGGGCGCACTGACTGAGACAACAGACAACATCTTCATTTTTTAACATATTTCTGCAATACAGTTTCAGTAAATGATCCATGCTTTCGTTCTTTTTTAAACACAGAAACAGTTTTGTTTACCTGTTTGTAGCTACGGTTTCGTCGACAGCTGCCGGCTTCTTCAGGCTGACGCTGATGGTGGCGCGTCACTTCCTTCTCCGTTTATAGAAGAAGGAACGGAGAAGGAAGTGACGCGCCACCATCAGCATCAGCCTGAAGAAGCCGGCAGCTGTCGGCGAAACCGTAGCTACAAACAGGTAAACAAAACTGTTTCTGTGTTTAAAAAAGAACGAAAGCATGGATTTACAAAGACACAGCAAGAACACACCTAAGATGTTCAGTAAATGATGTCCGGCATACCCTAAATCTAGATGCAAATACTGATTTCTTCCAATAATCTTATCAAAACAGTAATGTCTTAACTTAATGCTTATACACATTTTAGCTTACAGTTCTTTAGGTTAAAGTTGCTTTCTAGCACATAACTAAAACGATGCACCAGTTAGGGCTGCTCAATTAATCGAATTTTAATCACAATTACGATCTGAGTTTTGAATGATTATACAAACAAAACAAGCCGATAATTTGCTCCTCCCACTTGTGCTGCCCTGAGTTGCAAATGAAGCGCTCCCAGTGTTGCCAACTTGGCGACTTTGACGCTATTTCCAACAGCTTTTCAGGCCTTCTTGATTTTTTAAATCTTAAAAGTACCTAGCGAACACCTGAGAAACATCTCTGGTAACCCTTAGCTACTTTCTGGATAACTGTCGTTGACATTTCCTGCAGGTTAGCTAAACACTCCGCCTGCGCTCCGGACCGTTCTTCAGGACATTAGGAAAGGGAATGATGTAGTGATGTGTCAGTCGCTAAAGAAACAGCTCTCAGAGCCGGCTCCCTGTTGGATTAACCAGAGTGAGTGACACGCACACCGCACCTGCGGACTTCTGAGCCACTAAAAACGGCTAAATGTGCGTGTGCGGCGCGCTAAACAGTGCAGCTTGCCCCTGATTGCTGTGAGACCAGGTTGGGGGGTGGGGGGTGCAGCTGTGGTTGGGACAATTATTACATTAACTGATGGACTTGTAAATTATAAATAAGGTAGAAATAAGTTCCTCACGCTGATAAATAATAACTAATCTCTCTGAGGACACGGTGCTAGTGCACTCTCCTACAGCACCTTGACACGACTCAATAAATGTTATGCAACATTTTGTGAACATCAGTTTATTTGCATTTATTTGTTATAAATGCCACTGTATAATTCTTGCTGTCAGTATTTGCAAGATATTGGTATTTGGGTCTGTACTGGTTAGACTTAAATGAATTAAACCAAGGTCTATAGCCCTTGGGTCATAAACTATGAGCTATAAGTATATTGGTCTTTTTATACTGGGAATCAGGAGTTATTTTAGTGATCATCTTGTTTCTTATTTATTTTTGTCCTGATTGCGCCCTGAACAATTTTATGACTGAATAAAAACAAATAAAATCAACATAAATTGAAAAATCGTCCTAAATAATCGAGATCACAATTTCAGTCACCAAAATCGTGATTATTATTTTTGCCATAATCGAGCAGCCCTAGCACCAGTTATTAACACGGCTTCTGATTTTCCCAGCCATTATAATAGAAATGAATCAAGTGCTGCTTAAAATAGGGACATCTAAAACAGGGAGGTGTACACATCTTGTAAAATTGTCATTACACATTTTTAAAAAATAAGATTTTTTTTTTACATTTACCATGGCTCTACAAATCATTTGGCTCAAGTGCTTGGTAGAGTTGCAATCTTTTTATCCTATCTCAACTGTTTATACATTATTTTTAATGATACAGACACAATTACTTGACTTGACTTCAGTAATTATGCCCTCCGATTGCAGGCTACGCAGATGCCGGGACCCAGACAGAGCTTACGATGAAGGACATTGAGAAGATGGAGGACGTTCTGAGACAGAACACAACAGAGCTGGCAGATCTTCACTCCAAAAAACTGGACACAAATTTTTGTCAGAACTCATTTGAAAAAAAAAATGAGGACAAGACTAAATTCTACAAGGGACTCCCCAACTTTTTAGTTTTATTGCAGATTTTTGAGCTGTGTGAGCCCTACATCACCTATGGCCCCATGTCTGTGCTGTCTAAATTTGAACAGTTTATGTTAGTTTTAATTAGGTTGAGACTAAATCTCCCACTGAAAGATTTAGCTTTCAGATTCAAGATTTCTCTGTCCAGTGCTTCCAGAATTTGGCATAAATTAATTGACATACTTTATGAAATACTAGAATTTCAAATTGAGTGGTCAGAGCGACATGTACTTCATGCAACAATGCCAATGTCATTCAGAGAGGCATTTGGAAATAAAGTTGCTGTGATAGTTGATTGTTTTGAACTTTTCATTGAGAGGCCCTCTAATTTATTAGCCCAAGCACAAACTCGGTCAAATTATAAGCACTATCATACTGTAAAATTTCTAATTGGAGTTGCGCCCCAAGGCTATGTTACATATATATCTTGTGCCTGGGCAGGGAGAGTCAGCGATAAGCAGATTACATTAGAGAGTGGTCTTTTAAAAGTTGTTGCCTGGAGACATTATATTAGCAGACCAATTTTACCGCAAAGACTACAACTCCCATGATGCTTTGCGGCGCCAGCGCGGAGCAGATGCGCCCCCTCCTTTGTGTTTTTTCAGCGCCGAGGCAGTCAGAGGTAGTTGGGTGTCTGCAGCTCCGCTGTCTCGGGCAAACTACACTCCTCTCAGCGCCGAGTTCACTCAGCTGTTTTCTGACGTTGAAGCCCAGAAACGGAGATTCTAACCGCTCAGTAATGTGTTCACGACTGAAAGAGAAAGTTTTCAAACTAACGTCCAGACAGAGCTGATATAACTTCAGCAAGCAGCGACACGCTCAAACCAGCACGACTCTGTGGCTGCTGTCGTGTTTCCTCCCTGACACAACAACGTGGTCAAGCTGCTCAGACATGTTCATCAGCACAAACCTATGTGAGCACCTGTTGTCATCTAATGTTGTCATTATTATGATGAAGATAAACAAAACAATAGGAGCCTCCTCCTCAGCTCAGATCAGCCCCATGATGCAGGTATCTGGCTGGAACAGGTGAGCATCACAGTAAACCAGTGGAGCAAACTGAGCTTTAAATATGTTGGATTTATGCTCTTTTTCTGCTCCAAAACATGAAAGTTAACAGGTGAGATGTTGCATTTTCATTTAAGATAAAATGATATTTTTATTTTGTTGTTGTTCCGTGAGAAAAGATTTAACCTACAGTAAACAGGAAGTGGAAAGGCTGCAGATAGATGAATAGAATAGAAAATCCCTTTATTGTTCCTCAGTGGGGAAAGCTAGATGTCACAGCAGCGATGACACTTATTACAGGAGAAAAAAAGGAGAATAAAAATAAGAAAAATGAATAAACAAGAAAACATAAATCCTGAATAAAGCCAGGGGTGCAGACTCTCCCACCAGATCCACGGTGCAATTCAACCTGACAACGGTTATCTTTATTTTCATTTACATGAACGATCATGAGGAATCATCTGGACAAATGTGAAAGAAAAAGATCTGTAGAGAAGGAAAATGGAAAGTGTAGGAGAAAACGAGGATGTACTTCTTTAGTAAATGTTCACTGATGAGTTTTCGTGTTTGGGAAATTACAAGTGAGGTCAATCACAAGTTGTGTTTTCATAAAATAGTGTTTCCATCTGAAAATAAGTCAGGGTTTTATTTTAACTTTATTTCTCAGTGTTGCAGCTGGATGCTCTTCTGCGCACCTCTAACAGGTTACCAGACATTTGAGATTATTTTCTAGTTATTCAATTAAATGATAATTGTATAATGAATATTTTTTCTAAAGCAAAGTTTTAATAAGTTATTAAATCAGACCCATCAATGCCATAGACACAATCTCTGTCACACCGCTGCATCTTTCGGATCATTACTTCATCCATTTCAGCACGACTCTACAAGGGAGGTCCACTGCTTCCTCCCCAATGGTCTCATTCCGCCGCAACCTCCACAATCTGGCACCCAACTACTTCTCCTCTCTTGTTGCCTCCACTCTTCCATCTCCCAGCACATTCTCTGCTTATGAAGTGAATGAAGCCACCTAGTCACTCTGCTCCACACTCTGCTCTTGTCTTAACAACGTGTGCCCTTTAGCCACTAGACCTGCTAGATCCTCTCAGTCGCACTCTTGGCTAAATGATAACCTCCGGTCTCTACGCACCAATCTTAGAGCTGCGGAACGGAAATGGCGCAAAACAAAAGATCCTGGTCATCAATTGAAATTTCAGGAATTACTGTCCTCATTCTCTGCCAGCATCACTGATGCAAAGAAAGCTTTCTACACTGACAAAATTCTCAGCCCTACTGACTCTCAGAAACTATTTTCAACATTCAAAACTCTGCTCAACCCTCCATCTCCACCTCCTACCAACAATCTATCAGCTGACACCTTTGCCTCATTCTTCACTGACAAAGTGGCAGCTATAAGCAAACAGTTTACTCAACTGGACACTCCTGAACATTCGCAACCACAAACTCCTTCTAGCCCAACCATCTCAGGCCCTACTGCTTCATTTTCCTCTTTTTCCCCTCTCACTGAGAATTGTGTGTCCAAGCTTCTCACGTGCAGCCGCCCTACTACATGCCCACTTGACCCCATTTCGACTAAGCTGCTCCAAGCTATTGCTCCTACAGTAGCCGCAGCAGTCAAACGTGATCAACACTTCACTGACATCCGGTACATTTCCCACCTCTCTCAAGCATGCTCAGGTTAAACCGCTGCCAAAAAAACATCTCTTCCTCCAAATCACGTGGAGAACTACCGACCTATCTCTCTCCTCCCTTTTCTGTCCAAAATCATTGAAAGGGTGGCTTTCAAGCAGATCACAGAATACCTCTCACAAAACTGTCTGCTTGACCCTTACCAGTCTGGGTTCAAACAGGGCCACTCCACTGAAACCGCTCTGTTAGCAGTGACTGAATCCTTAAAAGAAGCTAGAGCGACAGGCAAATCCTCAGTGCTTATCCTGCTCGACTTATTGGCTGCATTTGACACTGTCAACCATGGCTTCCTTTTGTTCACACTCTCTAGCATGGGCATCACAGAGTAAGCACACGCCTGGTTTGAATCGTACCTCACAGGACGATCATTCAGTGTATCTTGGCTTGGACAATCCTCTACCATGCACCATCTTGCCACAGGAGCCCCCCAGGGCTCTGTACTAGGACCTCTTCTCTTTGCCACATACACCACCTCACTGGGTGAGATCATTCGATCACATGGCTTCTCCTACCACTGCTATGCAGACGACACCCAGGTCTATCTGTCATTTCCACCGGACGACCACACTGTCTCTGCATGAGTATCAAACTGTCTCTCTGACATAACAAAATGGATGAAATCCCACCATCTCCAGCTCAACCTCTCTAAAACTGAACTACTTGTCATCCCAACAAAACCATCCATACAGCATAATATTGCATCCAAAATGACTTCCAATTAGAGCCCTGCACGGGCCTAAAATCTGAGCCCGTGTCCGGCCCGGCCCGAGGGGGTGGAGCCCCAGCCCGACCCGGCCCGAGAAGGTTTTCAGGATTCTCTGGGCCGACCCGAGCCTGAGCCTGACTTTTTTTTAACCAACTAAATGAAAACAAAGTGCGTCAATCCTGACCAATGTGTTAAAAGACGTGCAGGATCCGATCAATTTGTTTTTCCCTCATTTACCATCACGGAGATGATGGCGCACTGGCTCTGGTGGTAATCAAGTTAAATTTTATCTCTTTCCAACAATTTTAACAAGAAAACAAAACAGTTAAAAGCAGGGCTTGTGTTGACCAGATAGTTCCCGTATTTGATCGTTTATTTTGACGGAGAAAGAATAGGAAAAATTACCCCGACGCATGCAGACGAACTGACATTTCATTCTATGCACATCGCAGATGTTGCTAAATCACCCAAGAAAAGATTCCCATCTGAACATCTGAGCTGCACACTGCTCAGCGCAGCTCGCTGTCAGCGCATATGTGCACAGCGAGCTGAAGTTGTGGAGATTGGCTTGGAGCGTGTCGCAGAACCAGAGCGCATGCGGGAAGGTTCCTCCCACTGAAGCGAGTATTTTCCAAACCCTGTCTCTCAGAGAGACTTGTCACTTAGAAAATGTTCCCTGATTATGAAACTTTGGCTGAATAGTGCTTGTTCCTGTCTCCAATGTGGCGACGCATCCAGGAGCCGTCTGAGGAGAATCCCAGAATCTTACATCCTCTTCAGCTCAGGAAGCGCCTCTGACTACGCACAAGCGTGACCCGTCAACCTGGTCTCACAGCAAGACTGGGTTGGGCCTGTTCAGGTTTACGCAGACAATCTTTACACAGAATTGACTTACAGATATAAAATTAATTCAGTAAAATATAAAGCATTTTATTTAAATATCCATTCATTATTTTACAAGCACAGAGAGCCGCATCAGATTCAGATCAGCGGGAAGATTCCTCCGACTGAATTCAGTCGGAGGAATCTTCCTGCATGCGCTCTGGTTCTGCGACATGCTCCAAGCCCCTCTCCACATCTTCAGCTCGCTGTATACCTTATGTAGTACACGCTGACAGCGAGCTGCAGTGAGCAGTGTCCAGCTCAGATGTTCAGATGGGAATCTTTTCTTGAGCGATTTAACTACATCTGCGATGTGCGTAGAATAAAATGTCAGTTCGTCTGCATGCGTCGGGGTAATTCTTTCTATTCTTTCTCCATCAAAATAAACGGTCAAATATGGGAACTGTCCGGTCAACACAAGCCCTGCTTTTACCTGTTCTGTTTTCTTGTGAAAATAGATAAAATTAAACTTGATTAACACCAGAGCCAGGCGCACTGCGCCGTTATCTCCGTCACTGTAAATGAGGGAAAAACAAAATAATCGGATCCTTTTCTGACCTTCCCCACCCACAAAGTTTAATTACAACAACCAAACGTGACAGAGCCTGGATTTGTATTCTGAACAGTCTAAACATGTTTTTAAAAGAAATGTATGACAAACGTGGCACCTGCTCAGTAAAACCACCAACAGGGTGAAAAATATCAAAATATTGTAGGCAGAGACGGGCTACAACTTCTGGATCCACTTTATATAAATTGTTTTATTTATTATCTTCTTATGAAAGATAAATTTGACGCACACGAGCGACCAGTACCGGCTGCTGTCACCTGTTGTGAGCAGCGCTCTGCTGTCTGAGGGTAGGCCCTGCCCACAACGCCGCAGCTGCTGTGGCTCCCAGTGTTTTCTTTACTGTGGGAAATGGGTAATAATGGCTCTTTGATAGGAACAGGTTGCCGACCCCTGGTTTAAGTGTTTCA